TTAGGAACAGGAATGACGTCATACAACTGTCTAAGAGATAGTCAAAATTGTTCGAAGTTCAAAAACGTTAAACCAAAATGTTAATGTTTCTTGCAATTGCTTTCTTACACTGTTGCTCTCTCAAAACTGTCAATTATGACAGCTATCAGATAAGTACCAAAGTGAAGCAACTTGGTAAGGGTTTTAAACTGATCACAGACATTAACCTTACAAAGACATAGAAAGTAGAAAAGCATCGTGGAAGAAAGACATTTGCCATGTGAAAATCACACATATTTATAACGGTCTGTTTGGCGAACCTCTTTCTGTTCCGTGTCTCAAAATCTGTTAAATTTAATTAAATCGACAAGTCTCACCGTAACTTTTTCAAACCAATTTGAACCAATTCAAACCAATTTGTTCGACACTTCTCAAATTACACCTCTTTTATGTTACACTGATTTACCGAAATACTGGTTATTCTAGAGCAGTCTTTTCACGTTCACATTATACCTTTAAAACAGATGCTTCTAAACAATTTTTATTTTTGAGTCCGGAAGTAGGATATCTGTAATAGTATTTAAAAATATTGCAAAAGAATGACAGGATATGACGCCAGCATTGACAGCTGAGCTAAGCAGCGCAGAAACGGCTTATTTTTCCATATTTCTCACCTTTACGTATAAAACTTGAAAAAAGGTGTATTATCAAGTATTGGAAGCTTCTCATCATAACATATTTGCTATTGCAGCTGTATAATACAGTTTTTAAGGAAAAAACTGTTGCAGCTTTTCACAGGTTTCCTCTTACTTTCTTTTACTTCCTAATATTTACTCATAAATTGTGCCTGCCAAAGTTCCTTTCCAAAAATATCTCAACAAAAGGAAAAGAGGTTGAAAAATCTTGTCACAAAGAGATTGCAACTCTAAACAATATTAAAAATTACCTAAAGTTTTGGCTCAGTTGCTTCTAGCAGAGAGGTTTTTTTAGCTGAAATGAGATGAAGAGAGTTGTAATTTACTACTCAAAATTTTCGGAAATTATCTAACCTACTCTTTAAAGCTGATTTTAAACTATAAATTAGACCCAAATAAGAGCAAAATCTTTTGGTAAAAAGTTTTGTTTTTTGTTTTTGTTTACCCTCACTTATCGTCTGCTTTAACAAGTTTTTCTCCTTACTACTCTCCATTATGACACCGCCTGCAATGGGAGGCTAGTGTCGTTGTTTTTATTTCTAAATCCTGCAAGTCTTCAAGTTTACGTTGGAGAAATTTTGCTATACAACAAATGTCTTTCAGAACACTGCTTTTTGTAAATCCTGTGAACGGCCGCTAGTCACTGACCATCATTCCAACCCTATTTCCTCGCAGATGTTTTCCTGAATGTTAATATTTTTTTGGAATGACCGTAGCTTTTTTTCTTCTTTTTCCTGCCTCTGCGAAATTTTCAACAGCAGATTTTAAAACTCGAAACTTATGGTGACTGACTACTGCACACTTTCCAAACAGGCTAGAACCTCTTTCACACCAGATTTGGTCTGAAATAACTTTTTAGAAATTTGGGATATTTAAAAATTAATTAAATTTCAACTTGAACAGGAACACCAAAGAAAAGATTTATACTGCTTTGTTCTTTTCACTCTTTGTTTACAGAATCAGTTCATTCTAAGAGTTTCTATTACTTATCTTGCAGGTAACATAGTGTTGGCTCACACATACCGAGTAACTTGTGAACTCGTTTCTTCAAATGTACAGCTTGACGTAACTTCATCTATCATTGAATTTTTTATGCAAACCACAGAAGCAATCACTAAAAAGCAGAGCTGCTCTGTGGCATTTGAAATATTTGAGTAAATTTAATTCCTCATTGATGCATTATGTCTCGCCTACAGACAGAACTTTAAAGATTTGGAGATTTGACCTCGACGTCTTCTCTTCTACAGCGCCTTATTAGGACCTTATCTTTACAGTCTTTACCGTTAGTGTAATTAGCCCTTA